AAAACCTATCCAGTAGTTTTTGTCATGCCCTAGCCTATCTACCATAAGAATATGAGCGAAATCGAATTTTCGGCCCTTGCCACGAAATTAATAATTTGTCTGATTTTTACAGGCAGGCACTCTTAACAACTAAGGTCTCATATGAATGCCTTGATGTCAGAATGAATTCCATTAAAAACATCAAGATTTTCTATTTTATTGACTGGTTAATCGACGTAAATTCAAAGCCAAGATAACAAAATTGAATGGTTCCTTATCAGGGTCATTTACCTCCATCCAAACGCTCAAAGCGTTACTGTAGCGACCGTCTGAGTTATCCCACAGTGTACTGGTAGAGTTGTCGTGACTAGCAGATACAAGGATTATTGGCGCCTTGTGAAACGGATTCTCAAATTCCAAATCCTAATTTGGATAAAATTAATAAATTGTAACACTAGTTGGCTTAGTTTTCATGAAAACACATATAATTTATAAGACTAAACTCGATAACACTATCAGACTGATATTTATCTTCCTTTAAATTAGCGTAGTTCAGATACCGAATAAAGCGTCAAAACGTTCTTGCAAAGTCATCCGTGGGACGGTGACGTATTGCAATGAGGGATTCAGACTCGTCAAAACCTTCTTAAACATATCGGAGAATTCCGGCTGTAAAGTTCAGTTTTCTACCGAATGCATGTTATGTGATCATGATTATACATGTATGTGCGTAGTCAAAGCAGCTAACCTGCTAAACATCCGAATTTCGTACCTGGCAAAAGGCGTAATTATTTTCTCGCAATGGAGCTCCATATCCAGCGAAATTAATCTTTCCACGTTCAGTAAAGTTCCAATAGGCGGGGAGTTCGTCATAAGCAAACCAGTGCTGATGAGTTCAGAAAAAAAAAAGCAATTAGACTAACAAAACAATGGGATTATATAGGACAACAGCCAAAAAAACTTAGTGCAAGTTGATGCAAAAAAAACATGACCCAGTCTCATAGCGGGCTTCATTATGCTTCAGCTTACCACTTTTAGGTCCGAGTGAATTCCATCAAATGTCATCAACTCTCTCATGCACACGTAAAACTCGTTCTTTCCGACATCTCCAAGCCAGAGGTTCATGGAATCAAATGGTCGGTCAGAATGCTCATGTTGAAGGGTGATAAATACTTGAGGCTTGATCTTGAAACCCTGAGAAATATGATTGAACGAAAATACGTACTCTACATGACATTCCAGTGATTTCAGTCAGAGCCTATCAAGCCTAGGTTGAGTGACCTCCAGCTTCAAATGACGTGACAGCTCTGTTCTTTTTAAAATCCGATTGAGTGAGTCGCGAAAGAATATTTGCAAATATGAAACGATTTCGACTAGTGGGCCGATAGAAAAAAAATAATGTTCATTGCAAATAAAGGTCAGAACTTACATTACTCTGATTGCTGATTGATACTCGCTTGCACTGCGTTCTCGTAGTCCATTCATCGAAATCCACAGTGCCTGACCGGATACCTTGATGAGATCCTTGGAATGCGAGCCAATTGATGACAGATGTCCCCCCTGAACCACTTCCTGCTTCACGTGCACAGACCTCAAAACCTGTTGTGGAAACTGACTTAACCCACAATGCTGCTGGGTCGTGGATTTTGACTTGGGTGTTGCCATGACTAAGGGAAGCCAACACTCTGACGTCACTGCCCTGAAACTGAGTTTTGAAAGAGACGGACTGGCAACCATGGTTGTTATGGGTGCCCGATGTGTTACGCTACTTGCGAAGATTAGAATGAAGAGTATGTGTGATTTTGACTCCCTACAAGAAAGGCACAAGCACTTTTGAGACGTAGCTAAGATTGAAGGAAACTACATGAAAATCGCTACGAGATGGTGCTCATTTGAAGAGAAAAAATTAATAACCTGCGAATTACAGCATTTCTAAAACAAGTTTTCATCCGATTTTTGCTAATTTTGATTTGTACACCAACATCGTGCGCGAGGCCACCTCTCTAATATGGATATTAAAGGACGCAGACAAAATGTCTGAAAGTTCTACAAATGTAGGTGTCATTACTTTAGAGGTCAGAATGCCTGTGTGATGTCACAAGTTTAAAAGGATCTGACTTACATGTACTAACTGTTGTACATACATGTACCAGTAAAATGAAAAATGCACCACTGTACATACATTGTATGTAGATAAAATAAATTTGAGTCTACTAGAACAACAGCAAATTTATTGCTTATTTCTGTTTACTCAGCATTGAAAGTTCAAAAAGGTTGTTTTATATCAAACAACAGACACAATGTTCTTCACCTATAAATAAGAGTGAAATATTTACAAGTTGGCATCTGTGTTGACCAGTTCTCCATGAGCTGGTCTTATTGATCATGTAAATTTCATTATAACATTGTTAATAGGCCACTTTCGATAATTATATTACAATTCAGCTTGATAGTGAGGCTTAGAGGACACAAACAAAAGAAATGAATAAACATGGTCATTCAATTTCCTTTGTTTGTGTCCTCTAAGCCTCATTACCAAGCTGAATTTTAATATTATCGAAAAAGGTCCATTGAAAGTAGCTGTTGTTCATTTGCTTGACAAACTATTAATGAGTTTTCATGAGAAGTTGTGCTCATAACAGGCCTTCTGATAGGGTGCAATGAAAAAATGCAAATCATGCAAAATTTGCTGGGTAGATTATGTGATCAAAAAGGCCAATTATGCGATGAATAATGTAAATTATGCGATTTTTTTTCTGAGCAATTTTTAAGCTTGTTNATGCATCTTGATCGACATTAGTTGGGATAAATAAAAAAAATGAGGTCTTCTGCACTATCAGTGCACCACGTTAAAAGTTGAAAGGACACAGCTAACATGCCAAATGAATGATCAATAATTGTTGATATTCTTGCATGCTACAATTAGCTTCTTATGCTTTGTTTTTATGTGCAGTATTATATTTCTGAATACAACAAACCAACATTTTAAAATTTATATTGCAAGGATCATCAATAAAACCACCATTGAGTTTTCAGTTTTTAAACACTTCATCCTGCTTCACAATAATATTATTCAATCCATAATTAAGCAGGCAGATCATAAACTTATACATTTATAAAACCCCACAGTACATGTACGTTAATTTATAACATATGCCAGTCTGTCAAACTCATATGTGATCTCATAATAGTATTGTATAACAAAACTAGCTTGAACATAACAAAACAGTCAATTCTACCTGTAGACAGTAGTTGATAATCAAAGGGGACTCTTCAAGTCACGACTGAAATTTTTTGGTCAAATCCAGAGGAAATTGGAGTAAACCAACTCTAGTTAGCGGGGTTCTACTGTACAAGTCGACTGCGGGAAATTTTGTCACAAACAAAATTTTCTTCAACATGTTTCAAAAATTTCACTGGTTAAAGTTCGTAAGGTGACGAAAACATACCACAACCAAACGTCTACACAGATGAATGTAGCCAGTAAAACAAGCCATTTGGTTAAAACTGTCGAACCATTTCCCATTAAACAACAAACCATATTTCCAATTGAACATATAAACTCCATCGAGTCTGAATGTGTATATCAGCCATTCAGATTGCCTAATCTGAACAAAGGGCGAGTTTGGGTTTCACCAATAGGCGACTCTTTAAGAATAAGACTTGTACCAGGTCCCCTACATGCAAAATAACGCCTTGCAGCTTCGAATGTTTACAAAATCGGTGACAAAGGTTTTTAGGCTTTTTCCAAGGTAAATCATCTTAAAAATGGCGTATTTATGCAGGAATTCCTAAGAAACTTGTTGATTTGTGTTTTATTTTATGAATGTTGTGCGTTCTTTTGTGAATTATGCAATTTTTTGTGTCCCTTGAATCACAAAGTCACATTTTTTAAGGCCAGTGTTCAAAGAATGGTTATTTCATCCACATGTAAATGTACCTTGACAGCCTCTATGAGTATTTCCTTCACCATGTTATTTTGATCTGGTTCTGATTTAGCTTCAACAGGATTGCTGCGCTCACAAGACATGATCTTTTCATCCAGACCCACACATTCATGGCTCACAAGGTCTTTTCTCTTCTCCCATGGAACACTATAAACCACAAACTTGCATTGCATCTGTGGAGGAACAAATCAGCCAATCAGAAAATTGGAATTTGTACAGTGTATGAAAGTTGAATAATAATTACCTCTACTATAATGCAGTTTGGTGCGTGTCCAACCTCCTATTTATTACCGTTACCGACAATCCTGAGTTCTGTGAGGGAAAAATCTTGCTCTGCATTAACAATCCTTACATCCTTCTTCCCTTCAGCAGCACTTTATACCATTTAGGTAAACTAGTATATTATTATTTTTTGATTGAGGGGATGGACATTTATTACAATGTACATCTACAAGTAAAAGGAGGATGCTGAATCAAGTCATTGTACACATAGTAACTACAAATGCATTAAGAAAGAGGGGTACATGTGCTCCTAGACTAATACATGACGGTATACTCATACCATGCTTCATAGAATCAGAATAGCATCTATTCAAACAGTTACACACGTGTATACCTCCAGCGAGTCAACAGGGCAGAGCTCCAAGGAAGCAGATTTGTGAGATTCATCATTACGACAGCTTCTGGAAATGCCAACCTCAGTAACAATGCAGAACTTTTGCCCAGCAACAACCTAAAATGTAAAGGTTGTAAACATGGTTAAAGATTAAACATTAAGCACAAATGTACTCACAGAACATGTATTGTGTGTATGTAATAGTAACTGGGCTAAGAGGAGAACAATTCAGGAAGTATGCAGGAAACGAATTTAATGATTGGACAAGCATGCTGTGAAAGGCTTATTTGAAATTATGACCACATTGTTTGACACAATGCCTGATTACATTTTACTAAGTAACACATAGAGTATAGTATCTATAACAAATTTCAGGTTAACAAGTCTTTGATGAGTACACAAGCAAAACCATGAGCAGGAATTTTCCATTAACCATTTAAGTGCACATAATTGACAAGTGAATGGTGTACATGTAGAGGTCTAATCTCCAGTACACTGTACCTTACGTGTAATTGCAAAAAATTGTCATTGGATACCTGTAATTATCATACACCCTCACGAATGTACACCAGTTAAATGTCTGACAAATAGGTGTGCAGGGAACCAATCACACACAAAATTGTTCATCTAACTTAGGTTAATATCAGCTACAGCTGCTAGATTGGAAGTGGAATTTACACCCGCTTTCGCGGTATAATTTGGTGTTATATGAATAAGTGATATCTTTTGACTGTCTCAACATTCCATGTTTCGACATGCTATGTAAATGGCCAAAAGACCGTTTACCTGTGAAACTGGCAATTTTTCTGATTAGCAGAACAAATGATAAGTACATGATACATGTAATTAATGACCTCAAATGAATAAAGAGGATTGTAGACTCCTGATTTATGGGATAATTCAAACAATTTTAGTGTAGTTGATCGGCTCTCAATAATGACTTCCTGTAGAATTGGGCTGCTACTGCTCAGTTAATATTCGAAAGATGTAAACATTCAAAACAGTCGATTTATCCCTCACAGAATGTTTTCTTGATACTTTTAGCCTTAGTTTGATGTCAAATAAATCCATCTTTCATGACTAAAAGTTGAGTTTGACCGTAAAGAAGACAGTTGTGCTTACACTTTGAAGTAGGCCAGGTTATATAGCATGTTGAAAGATGGCATGTCGAATGATAGTCACTATGCATGTGACACTGAAAGCGGGTGTAATTAAGAAAAAGAAATTAACTTTTTCTGTGTCTCTACAGAGTTATAAAAACATATGAGGAAGTTTGCCGTGGGAATACACCCGTTTTCTTTGGGCCACCTTCTAAACATTTATTATACATGTACCTATTGAAAGATTTTTTATATCCACGGATGTAACGTCAATTGAAACATCTCTTTAAAGACATCTCTTCACAATGGACACATGGCCTTAGCAATACAACCAAAGTTCTCTTAATCTGCAGATCTCCAGAGAACTTACATTCAACTTTGGTACAAGTCGATGTCATGTATAGGGGTTTAATTGTACATGCATGGAAGGTTGGCTGCAATACTGAACAGCTTTTCTGCATTCTGATTGGCTGAATTTTTTATGGCATGGCAGAAATGTAAAAATAAAAAAAAAATGCAGGGCTGTCACTAAGTTTTGAGTCACCTGTAGCCTTAATCTTTAGACTTGTACCAAACTTGTTACCTTTTAAGTGAACTGCATCATGTAGAGGCAAGTTCACCATAACATCACGGCCCATCAACATACTCAGCCGTGCCAGGTACTATGGAATGCCAGATATCATGTGAAGGTTGAACCGATTGAACCGCCATGTCTGGTCTCGAAATGTGAGTGAACGAAAATTGAAAACTGGCGCTAAGGCCCCGCCACGAGGCAGATTTAATAATTAACTAATCCAGGCGGTATGAAAAAAAAAAAAGAAATAGAAGTGTTTGGTTTGAAACTTACTGTTTCCTGTAAGAAATAATTACTATTCCTGTTATAAGTTGGAATGCAAACATGGCTATCTCTATGTACTCTTTTTTTCTTTTTCTTTTTTAAATTAATTTTAATTTAATAATTTTTTTTAATTTCTGCGGGTTACGTGCCGACAGTCACGCAATGCACATAAAGTCAAAAAGCAGATTGCGATCAAACGAGTATGTTCCAGAGAACAACACATTTTTTTGCTGCATACGATTGCATAAAAAAGGTCTGTTTTGAAAAACAGTGTCAGCTGCTGTTCTAAACCTTGTTAGTTCTTCAC